AATGAGGTATACGCGTATTTTCACATTCGTCCTTCAGGTATCCGAGTTAGAATGTTCTAATATGAGATGTGTCATCTAGTCCACATAGACTTGCAGAGGTCAGCAAAGATAGATAAAGTTTTTACACAAACGTAGATATCCGATAACGACATATTAATGTTTTCGAAAGTTAGAAATAGTAATTTTGCTTGTAAAAGGACGTCAATTTCGTTCTAAAGCAGCTTTGCCAAACAGGCTAATTTTGGATGCTGTTCGAAGCGTTTCCCAAAGCGTATCGAAGAGGTCATGTCTTCCAGTACAGTTCGACATAGGCATGCTATGTTTCATTGATTATTATGGCCGTCGCCATCAGCTGATTTCGCAGCCCATCAGATCATTTTTTGGCTAATTCTTTTATTTTCGCTTTTCTTGTCAGGATTTCCGCTGGAAAAGTGATTGCCGGCGCTAGTCAGATAGATGTATATGTTTTTAAATAACATCTAGAAAAGTGAATTTTCTATCACTTAATATTTTGCTGCGGATGATTCTGACTGTTTCTATTGCTCTTTTTCTTTGACGGGAGTCACCAGCTGATGTTGCTTGGTTGAAGGTAGAATGTATCTTTACTCAATAATCAGCGAAAAAATTGCAGTTGCTTTAGCTTTCACCAGAAGTCCGAAAACAGACCAACAGTAAAAATTTACTCTCCTAAGTGTTATTGCAAAAACGGCATATACAGAGTGTCCCAAAAGTAAGTACACACTTTTCAATCGTCAGTATCTCTCTTCCCAATCGGTCTTTTTTGCCAGTAAAGTACCATTCTGTAAAGGAGGCTTCAACTTAGATTTACAGCATCGAGCGAATCACCGATCTCTCTTCGTTACTGTGGGATTATGGTAAGAACTTCCAGCATGTGGAACCATTGTGAAATGTGCCATCTGACAGAAATTTGTACTGAGGTTTTCGCGCACGCTAATTCCACTACACGACTTCTTACGAGTGCTTTTGGCTTTTTAGGTGGTGTAATCACATTTCTAACAAATTCTGGGAAATCGGTTATTACGGTTTACCTGGGTTAACTTTGGAAAAAAAGCACCGCAATAAGGTGAAAGTTTCATATTCGAAATCAGCGGCTTCCATTACCATAGTATAAGAGTTTTTGGCTAGTTTGGTTTTGTTCCGAGGCAGAATATGGCTTCTAACGTCCTAAAATCTTTGTCGAAGTTCCTACAGTAATCCTACAGTAATAAAACGCGAACGCTAAATTTGCTCGATACTGTAGATCTAAGTTGAAGCCTCCTCTACAAAATGATAATCAAATGGCGGAAAAATACACAATGGGAAGAGAGATATTAACAATTAAAAAGCGTGTACTTACTTTTGAGACACCCTGTATATCTATCTGATTAGGGCCGGCCCTCACTCTTTTAGCGGAAGTCCTGAAAAGAAAAGCGAAAATGATAAAGAACTAGCCAAAAAACGATTTGATGGGCTGCGAAATCAGTTGATGACGACTGGCAAAGCGCCAGTTGTGAACGCCTCGCCGTCGTGCACAGAGGTGCGATGGGGGGAGCCGGGCACACCAAAAGTGAAGGTGGTCCCAGCTACCACTGGCCGGCCAAAATTGAAGGTGGTAGTGTCGGACACTCACCTCCCAAAAACGTCGACCGGGGGGGGGTAGAACGGACGAACAGAGCTCTCTTTCTAAGTCGAACTGTGATCCAACGGCCCTCTTTAGGGCCACAGATGCGATGAATATCAAAAATATTTATAAATTTTACCTATAAAAATTTAAAATAGACGTGTTTAGTAAATGGTGTATTTGGAAGTAAAAGTTTGTTGAACTGTACGGATTTTATAAGGTAAATTTTGTCATAACATACTGCGAAGGAATTGTCGACCCAGGCGGTAACGGCCGAGAACCAGAATTTTGAATGATTAAATAGTGAAAAATCATGCAAAATTTCCACTGTTATAAATCTGTTGTTTGAAGATTTCAGCAGTTGCGACTTCATAGGTTCTGAAGAGTAAATGGTGCTCTATCAGCTAGTGAAAGAATCAAGTGGATTTGAGAGATAGTCGTTGAAAACCAGAATTCTGAAAATTTACGCCATTTTTGCGTGTTTTTTGACAGTTGACAGTTAAACTCATCTAAATCTTGCAAGTGAAAGTGTGTGATGTTGCGACTTCATAGGTTTTGTAGGGTAAGGTTTGCTTTATCTGAATTCTTAGCCGTACCGATTCACTGAAACAGTGCCGAGATCCAGAGTCTTGAAAAAGCAGGTAAAAAAGCGCTTTTTGAAATTCAACAGCTCATAACTTCTTCAGAACTGCATGAATCATGTTGCGACTTTATAGGTTAGATTCTTCTCATCAAGAGCTTTCAGACGATGTATAATATGTGGGGGTTTAAAGCCTCCTACGAATTATGCCCGTGGGGGGAGCCTTTTCATACCAAAGTCTCCCCCTAGCCCACTTTAATGTATTGGAGGTATATGTATTTAAACCCCCACATATTATACATCGTCTGAAAGCTCTTGATGAGAAGAATCTAACCTATGAAGTCGCAACATGATTCATGCAGTTCTGAAGAAGTTATGAGCTGTTGAATTTCAAAAAGCGCTTTTTTATCTGCTTTTTCAAGACTCTGGATCTCGGCACTGTTTCAGTGAATCGGTACGGCTAAGATGTACTCAGATAAGGCAAACCTTACCCTACAAAACCTATGAAGTCGCAACATCACACGTTTAACTGTCAACTGTCAAAAAACACGCAAAAATGGCGTAAATTTTCAGAATTCTGGTTTTCAAAGACTGTCTCTCAAATCGACTCGATTCCTTCACTATCTGATAGAGCAGCATTTACTCTTTAAAACCTATGAAGTCGCAACCGCTGACATCTTCAAACAACAGATTTAAAACACTGGAAATTTTGCATGATTTTTCACTATTTAATTATTCGAAATTCTGGTTCCCGGCCGTTACTGCTTGGATCGATCTACTTTCTTCGCTGTACGTTATAACAAAATTTGCATAATAAGATCCGTACATTTTCGCTAAGTTTTACTTCCAAATACACCATTTACTGAACACGTTTATTTTAAATATATATGCCGCCGTATACACAAATATATGCTTTATATTATCTTTTTGCGTTTGTTTTGCTTATTTTCCTTCTTTATCGTCCGGCGAAAAAAATTTTATTCCAAAAGTGAAGGTGGTCACGCTGTACCAGCTCAAAAGTGAAGATAGGGGGAGAATCGGCTCCCACTATCGTACCTCTGGTCGTGCATGGGCGATGCAAACGTGCCCACCAAACCAATGCGGAAAACATTAGAGCGATTTGATACCTATGGTATATGACTCATGACTTAATCTAGGATGATGTACGATGTGGGGAATCCGCCATACACGATGTGAGAAAATCGCTTACAAAGAACTTCGAGAAAGCATACGAAAACGCAATGAAAGATTGACTTCAAATGATTAGCTATTGACTGTTTGTTCTCGCAGTGCATGACGATGTAACAAAACCTTAATAAACCTATATATCTGTACGAATCTTGATTCAGAACAGTCAAATTCCTCATGAACCTACTTCTGTCAACCTTATCGCCTTACTATCGCTTCCCGCTGAGAACCGTAGAAGCGAGCGGGCTAAGCGGGCGGACTGCTATAAAGTTTTCAGCGTTAAGCGAAAGTGGCGGCGATAAGGGCACGGAGGCGTTTTTATGGGTTTTGGCGGTGGCTTTGTGGCTTCCGCCAGAGCGCTTTTGAATGTCTGCGCTGTGTGACTGGTTGACTCGTAGCTCTCCACAGACTGAGAAATTAACAGCTTATCAGAGGTCATAATGTTCTTTCTTTCTGACAAGCGTTTAGGTGATTCTCTGTCGCAGAAATCGGGCTGTAATTCTGTGCTTATTTTTTTCTTCAAAAATTTCCTGTTGATATTTTCTTTCTTACCTTGAGCTTGAAAATTGAACAAAATATCTATAGGTTTTTGTATAATCCATAGCATAATATAGGGTGTCCCAAAAGTATGTATGCACTGTTTGATCGTTAATATCTCTCTTCCAAAGAAGTCTTTTGCCTTGCCTCAGGTACCGTTTTGTAGAGCTGGCTTCAGCTTAGATTCGCTGTAAAGAACGAATAACCCATCTCCCTGGGTTACTGTAGGTTTACGGTAGAAACTTCAAAGAGGGTTTTGAGCCATGTAAGGCATATTTTGCTTCAGAAAGGGAACAAAACAGCCTGAAAACTTTTACACTAGGCTAATTAGAGTTGTTGATTCTAACTGTAAAGTTCCCAACTCTCTATGATGCTTTATTGAAGAGTTTTAGCGGGTAAGAGGTAGCGGCCATTTTTTCAATGTTCCTAGAAAGTGCGGTTACACCGTTTAGAAAACTTCGCAATCTTGTGAATAGTTGAGTACTGAACTCAGCGTCCATAAAAGCCCTATTACACAAGTTTTCACATTTTTTTTGAAAAATTTTGAAATGGCAGCTTTTTCCACATTGACACCATATGTTTCAAGTTTCTACCGTAATCCTACAGTAATGAAGAGATATGGGTGATTCATCCTATAATGCAAATCTAAGTTGAAGCCAGCTCTACAAAACGGTACCTGAAGCAAGGCGAAAGACTTCTTGGGATTAACGGTCAAACAGTGCATACATACTTTTGGGATATCCTGTATATTGACAATATATTTTCTATGAACCTAATAGAAAGTATTCAAAAACATTTTGCTAATTTATTTGCCTAACTGGGCTAGAGCTTTGTCACTCTCTAGTCCACTACATGTTATCAGCTATAAGTGATTAAGACTCACAAGTAAGACTTATTGAGAAAATATCTGCATTTAAGTCTACAAAACCATCAGCTATCAGAATGCAAGTATGCCTGAGCTAGTCAACAGCTAATCGCAAGTGTTACCGTTACCCTTTAAAGTCTCAAACGAATTTTGTTGTATGACTTTTTGAAAAGAGTTCTATCACCTACATTAATTTGTGCACTTTTCAGCGTATAAGCAGAATCCCTGGCTATGTCTTTTTTTCTTTGAAGCATACAAATTTGAGAAAAATTACGAAATTGAGAAACATCAAGCTCAAAAATGGTGAGGTCGCATTTTACGCCTATGAAATTGTCATCAAACGCTTATATAGGTTGCGCCGTCATTGTAATAGACAATCCATTCCTCGAGACCCTTCCGGAATTTGAATGGCAAAGGAATGAAACAGTCTTTTTCTTTATCTCCGACAATCCAATGCTCAATACTACTGCATTAAGAAGCAGACTTAGGAAGCTCTATCTCACCAATGTTTTTGTTCAAAGACCATTCGGTAAAGAGTTCAACCTAATTTGATTGAGTTATAAATGGCAAGGTTTAGCATGTGGGCCACTTCGGAAGAGTTCGAGAAATTGCAGCATCATAGAAGACAATGTTATCATTGGAGAAAAGAAAAATGAAAATTTGGAAAAAGTAGAAGAGATATATGGTTACCTAAGCGTGGTAAACACAACACTAACGAAGCTTCCGAAGTTGCCTCGACTCAAAAAAGTAATCCAGAACTATCGGTCGGACACTCCTACAATTCTCATAAAAGACAATCTGCGGCTAAAAAACATTGATTCTTTACTCGAATTGACGGAAGCATCAAATGTCAATCCGTTGAACACTGTTTTGATCAAAGATAATCCAGAATTGTGTGTAATTAGGGAAAACCAAAATAGGCCCTTCATTCAAAAATATGCAAACCTTACTAAATGTCCGTTTAAATAAACACTTCATCCTATTGTTATGGAACTGCTGATCGTCTGTTTACAAGAGCAGGCTTTAACTCGAAGTGGTCTTTCTAACAAAATGTCTACCATATGGCTTCAAGTGCTGATTTTGATCTGCCTTCCGTGTCTGCCAAACGCTTCCTTAGAAGAAGTTACAAGGATTTGATTGGGCAGGGTGTCATTAAACTTGCTTTGTAGAGAGCCTAGATAGCAGAGTAGCCTTTGCACCATTTCTGGTTCTTTTTTCAATATCCCATCTCAAGACGACTAGATATGTGATATTAGAGCAAATTAGCATCTAATGCGAATTCAGCTTATCTGAACAGTACTTGGCCGTACAATTCAAAGGCAAATAAATGCCCATAAAATCGTATAGCATACCGTTTGGTAGATATGGGAGGTTATTTTGGGAATGCGTTCAGGGACTTTTTGATTAATATACACCTCTGACAATATGCCATGCCCAATTCATTGAACCTCGGCATTGTGTAAAATTTGATTAAATTGATTGTTGTGCCAAAACTGATAGCGTTTTTTTTGGGCTAACGTTCAGCATGTCGCCTTCTACGGAGCCTGAAACTTGTGGATTATTCGCTCCGCACTTAATTAGCCACAGAAACATCATTCAAAATCATGCTAAACACTGCTATCATACCAAAGGTTCACATAATGTTAGCGTTCATCTCAATAGCCTTAGCGGTAACAATGCGATCGATTTTGCCTTATCAGTAAGTTAGTCTTTTTTGTACGCATTTCCCTATCAGTAAATTAGTCTTTTTTGAACGCATCTGAGCTTGACTAGCGATTTTGGAGAGAGCTATTCCTCGCTTGTCACGGCAATGCATTCTTTCTTGCAAATTATTTATGCTTCTTGGATGTTATCCAAAACAAAACCCGTTCAAAGTTTTCGTGCCATTGCTTCGGGTGCTTGCGAAAATTGTGATAGTCGTTATGAAAAAGCGACCGAAAAAAACATGACAAACTTGTCTTGACGTTTAGACGCATCTATCGGATAGCGTACAAAACAGTAGTATAAACTGGGCTGCAACAACATTTGATCCACATCTCTTGAATCGGCCATGGAGCACAATGAGGTGGTTGATAGTTGAAACCGGTCAAGACAGTCTCGTCTGATGGGCGGGCGCGTTTTATAAAGGATCTGTCCAGGCAGTCTAGCGATTATTTAGTATTGGTTTAGCCAGTCAAAATACTCCTGCCATCCCAAGGCAGGCTGCGCACAGCTAATCAGTCGTTAAAGTCCAATTTTGTGCAAACCATAACAGAAAGCTGCTGCGCTTATGAAAAAGTGCAGCGGTGGTCCAAACAAACTTACAAACCATCAGGATCATAAACGTGCCTAAACCTAGCCTTAGGCAAATTCAGTGCGATCGCTACTATTTGCGTCTGCACAAGTACGAGCGCGTACTTTGTTCAGCAGGCCAGATTGCATGGCATCACGGATGGTAAACTTGATTAGGTCTATATCAAGTGGAAATTGATACATCGATTTCCAACCCTAACTTCACTTTTCTTGTGGTCGTGTATCGAGCCACCCGGAAAACATAGTCGCATCTATCAGGCCTTGCCAGGCCGTCCGAGGGTATTGCTCGGGTACTTATCGGGTCATCCGCGGGCACCCAGAACGCTTGTCGAGTATTTATCGGCGCCTCTTGAGATGCGCGTGACGTGTTTTCCCTTACAAAAAGAACAAAAAAGAACATGAAAATAGAATATAAATATGATATAATATGAATGTATAGCCTTGAATAACCAATATCTTCTACACGACTAGGCGTTCATCGTACGCAATACCATGATAATCCTTATTTCGAGACAGCCATGATCCTATTATGAAACCCTAGGTAGTAGCGCGTGAAACCTTAGATGAGCTCTGAAGAACCAAAAACTTTAAATGTCTGGAGGAAATATGCATTGCCGTGATCAGCGAATTAGCTGTGTATCAAATTCTCTGTGGGTCTGATCTATAGTATATTTTAGACCGAATCAACTAATTCAGTTGTATGTCAATGACACATATTAAAAAAGCTCATAGCTCGCTTCAGAGAAACGCTTCGCAGCTAGGGATAGCATATTTGGAATCAGCGTTCCGAGATGATTCTAAATATATGTGTCTCATTTCAAAAGCCCGACCTAAGTTAAGTGACTTCCCTCTGTAAGAGTAAAATGAGGCGACGCCGCCAAAACATCAGCCTCAATAAAGCATTAACAAATCTCGGCACGAGATCAACTATTAATCCCAAAAGGTATATCTGATATATAAAGCTAAGTGTCTGTTTATATGTCTGTCTGTCTGTATGTATGCAGGTGTGTACATATGTGCGGAATAGAAACTTTATTTCTAAACCGTTTTGGACCAAACTTGGCACCCGGACACTTCGGGGCAGGGGGCGTGTCATAGGTTACTTTTTGTTATTGATCGATATCGATTTTTATCGATTTTATCGATTTTTTTGCAAAGTTTGAGCTACGGGGGTGGGAGTTGGCACAGGGGGTAATCGAGCATGCTGATTACGAGTACAATATTTTCTGGAATTATCGATTACTTTTGTCGATTTTATTGTTTTTTTGCAAGGTTTGAGCCGCGGGGCTGGGAGTTGGCAGAGAGGTAATCGAGCATGCTGATCACGAATACAAAATTAATATTACTTTTGTCATTACTTTTATCGATTTCATCGATTTTTTGCAAAGTTCGAGCCACGACGCTGGGAGTTGGCGTGGGAGGGGGGGGGGGGTAGGTGAGCATGCTGATTATCAGTACAGCGGGAATAGGGAAGCATGTAGAAGTGGGCACAGGGAAAGGTTGCACAGGGATAGGAATGGTACCTTTATCATAGTCTTTTGACAGGACCGAGCGGAGCCGGGTAAGCCAGTAGTTACATTTATGATGTGGTTATACTTCTACATTTGGCTTGAACTTATAATTATAAGCAACTTAGCGTATTAGCTTATAATTATTTTGCTGAGGCACCACTCCGTAAACTCTCGCTCAACAGTGGCTTATTCATTAATGTGCTGTAATGTAACGCCGTACGCTGTCATTTTGGGGGTCCAAATAGGCTTTGATAGATTGCGGTAGTCGTATTCACGAGCATAGACGACGTGAACCTCGAGTTTTCTTTTTTTGGCTCCATGTCGGCGGTTGTACGTGGCTTCCATTTGGATCCAGGGAGTAGATTGGTGTGACAGTTCGAGGTCGATCACCAAATGTGGGATTGGAGTATCAATAGTTCGTTCAAAAACATCTCGGCCGGCGAACGATTCCTAGGCTAGACGGGCAGGGCTTACAGCGATAGCAAAGTATTGGTGTCGACAAAGCTTCTTGAAAGCTTGAAAGGTTTCCTTCTTCTTTTCAATCTCAAATATCCTCTCTTGAAGATTCCGACGAAGCGTTCAGCAGCCCATTCGACTGCGGTTCGAATGGCTGCCGTTCGCACGTGCTCGATCCTGTACTTCCGGCAGAAATTTGAAAAATTGAGTGCCGTTGTCCGAAGCAAGCGTTCCTAGAGAACCGAATTGGCTGAAAATTTGGTTGATTTGAAAAGCCAGATGGAGATGTCAAAAATACCCAGCTATAAGTAAACTCTTTCGAAACTTAAAAAAAGGGATTGATTGCCCTGCTGCAATTATCTCAGTAACACAGACAAGGGGCTCCAAAACATGGCTTTCGGAAGAGAAAGGAAAGCTACGTTAAGGAATTTTGAGGTGTTTGTTAATCTTAAATCTATGTGATAAATCGAAGAAACGAAAGAAACTTTCGGAGCAACCTCATTAAAGACCCGTGTATGACCTCTGCTTCGCTTTTTGGAATGTACCAGTAAACTATGTAGCCGCACTGGTTTTCCGCTTATAAGTGAGTGACAGGTAGTGAAGTCAAACAAAAATAAACATGCCTTGTTAGGGGGCTTGTATATGCGTTAAAGCATTCTAATTCCTTCATCATTGTATTTTCGTTTTGAACCAACTTTACAAACGGACAAATTTAAAGACATAAATTTGCGGCTTACTATAAGTCATACCAGCAGATTGTCAACTTTTTAGGTTTCGGTAGGCATTGGGCTTCAAACGAGATAATTTAAGCTTTTTTTTTTCATGCAAGGTAGCTTTATAATGGTACTCTCGCATAAGAAGAATTCTATTTTTATCTTGAACTAGCTGCGGTCCCCCGGTCCCGCCTGGGCCAAGGGTCCAAAATGGCCCGTCTGCTTCAAGATGTTTGCTTACCATTCCTCTACTTTCTTCAGATCATGTTTTTTCTTCCTCTCTTGCTTCAGCTCCAAGTCAGTTCCACCACACGCGTAGTATCCGTGGTGAATTTGTCCTTCTTGACCGGCTCGCTTCGTGACAGCGCATCCTCCTCACCGCAGAATGTAAATGATGTCTATCGTCCCTTACTACTTAACTTGGAAAATTGAATGATATAGCTTTCATTTTCCTAGATGTTAGTAAACAAATCAATAAATCGATAGAAAGACCTAGTGGATCGTCGCAAAAAGTAGCCTATCTTCTGCGCCTGGCCTCATTTATTGGGGAGCAAATTTCAGCCTCATCGGTTCACAAACAAAGGAGTCTATAAGCTACTTACATACGAACAAATTTACAGAGATTGAGTCTTATTATTACATAGATGATGATGATTACGTCCGTCAACTCCTCACCCTGAGCATTTGCAAAACTTTAGCTCGATTCAAAAATTCATGCCTTTTTGGACTATCTTGCAGAATTCTTAGAATGATATAGGGCTGATGCTTTATCCAACTTTGAAAATCTTTCTCTTCTCAAAGGCTATCCCCCAAAGTGACTTCAACAAGAGTTCGAAGCAAGATGTCTGCGATCCATCCATTCAAAGTCGCTTCCACAGAATAGTCCGAAACGCCGTAAGCTAAACGCTCACGAGCGTGCCAGGCGTGCGGCTGCCGAGTACTGGCGCTGCGATGACTCATGCGCGCGAACGCTAAGCGTAGCCCGCAAGTCATCTTTGCAGCCACGATAGACATGCTCGCAGACGTCCAGCCCAACGTCGTTCATTAGTTTCAAGCGATTCCATGCAGCCCACTTTACTTTTTTTGAGTTTAGCTAATTTTCAAAAAACTTGCTTCATACTTCCAAAAGGCCTATGAGAAGTGGATAGAGGTTCTATGCAATTTTCTGCCATTTGATGGTATCTTACACATTTTCTCATTATGTATTCAAGCTCACGAAACAAACAGAATAGCTAAGGCTAGACAAGGTAAGAGGTAGAATAGAAATCATGAACGTGAGCGCATTCGGAAAGATTATCTTGGAACTACAAATTGATTAGAAATGAATCGAATGGTACATAGATGACTGGTTTACTTTTCCTAGTTCATATCTAACAAGGAAAGAAAGGTTGATCAAAGTGGCCTTTTGAAATGTATATTACATTGTAGAGCTTAGGATGCTGATTCCAAATCTGCCTTCGCTATCTGCTGCGGGCTTCTGGACGAGGAGTTATGAAGGCTTTTGTGAGTAAAAAGTTGAATGCAAGATTAGCGTAAATTCAGTCGTAACATTTTTTCTAGAGCTTAAATATTAGTTCGGTCATTTGGTGCAGCAAATATTCTCGATTTGAATATACCAACTAGCTGCTGCTCCATTTTAACGTCAGAAAGAGGTTACGATCGATTTTATGCTAATCTTGCATTTGAATTTTTACTTACGAAAACCTTCATAACTCCTCGTCGAGAAGCCGCAAGCAGCAGATAGCAAAAGGAGTTTGAAATCAGCGTGTTCCAAGCTTTACAAAAAAATGTACAACCCATGCCATAAGACTTCAACCTTCCTTCCCTTGTAAGTTCTAAAAGGAGTTTTTTGAATTGGTCAAAAAACGGCACAAACTTTTGGGACGACTTATCATGTTTTGATGAAATAATGCACGTCTCCAAGAAGGCGGGCTACTCACGCGCAATTCAGCTAAACACCGATTGCAAAACATTGAGAGTGCCTGCTCAAAACAATGTAAAGCTTTGACTTCGAAAACTCGTGAAAAAAATTATGCTAAATTTAGACAACGTGCATTGAGTATGCACTAATCTATAGGTATCCATACCTTTACAATGAACACCATCAGCGTATTCATCCCAGGCCCTCTTTACGATTCTATAATGTAAACACGGTGCAAGATCTTAGCTGTCTCAAAATATACGACTATCAAAATGAGTTTAATCTTCTCTTCCTAAAGCCGTCGCTGTCCCTCATGAAGAGCCTTAAACGGTATATGTTTATCACAAAAATGAAATTTGGTCAATCTTGGAGGAGAGGAGTATTTCGCGCTCAACATTTTTTTGGCCGGTTCATGATGACAAAATTTCAATCAAAGCTCTTTTCGACGATGCGACTTTTTGCGTTCAGAGTTTCATGTTATTCTACGGGCTTGAAGTCTGAGAACCTAATACGCGTGACCTAATAAATTTTGAAAAGGCGATTTTACTCTACTTTTACGACTAAAGGCTCTGGATCAAGTCAGCTCCAAAAATATTATGCTTTATCAATATTTCAAATCTATATCTAGCTCATGTGGATAAAAGCTAAGGGATTAGTAAATGTGCTGCTTAGCGCTTAAATAATACTGACGTGGTCGTCCTCGTTGCCAATACAGTCCCACACTTATCATAGAGTTGCCACACTGCTGAGCCTCGAAATTCGACTTCTGCCATTAGCAAAGTTCTGCTGTTGTAAACATATCGCGAACTTGATTTTGGGCATGATGAACAAAATTTCGTATAATGTATAAAAATTCAAACGTGGGGCACTTTGTTTCCACCACGCAGTCCGCTTCCAATGAAAATGAAAAAAACAAACTAACGCAAGCATGCCTTTTTCTGTTTGCTAGCTCCGAAGCTTTGGATGCTTTGCGGAAAGTTCAAAATTCTAGCACAGATACACACTATACAACCGATGCATTTGCATCATCGCGGAATCAGACGGCAGAAGTCGAGTTTTGCGGCTCAAAAGCGTGCCAGTCCTATTTTGAGTTTGGGATTGTACTGGCAACGAGGACGATCACGTCATTAATTTTTGAGCGCTGACAAGGGAAGGATACCAATTAGTTGGCAATTGAAGATGAGATGTATATCATTAGATGCGCCCTTGAACGCTGATTCCACATCTGCTTTCCAATTTGCGGAATAAGTTTTCGAAAGAAGTTATGAGTGTTTGAATGTCCAAATTTGTCAAGCACTGAGTGGCTTTAAATCAGCGAAAAGCTCTGAAACAACACCTATGCAATTTCCACCGGCTTTGTTCCTTCCCTGCAAACAATATACCTGATACAAAAACGATTCTCCACTTTTGGTGTTTTCGTACACTTTTCGTCAATTTTAGGCCACCAACCTTGACAAATTTGGGCATTTGAACGCCCACAACTTCTTTCGAAAATTTATTCCGCAAATTGGAAAGCAGATGTGGAATCAGCGTTCAAAAGCGCGTCTACTGATATACATCTCATTTTCAATCGCCGACTAATGTTGATATCCTTCTCTTGTGAGCAGCACATTTATCAACCCCTTAGCCTTCATCCACATGAGCTACTATAGATTTGAAATATTGATAAAGCATAATATTTTTGGAGCTGACTTGGTCTAGAGCCTTTTCGAGCTATAAAAGTAGAGTAAAAATTCCCTTTTCAAACCTTATTAGGCCTTACGCGTATTAGGTTCTCAGACTTCAAGCCCGTAGAGTAACATGAAACTCTGAACGCAAAAAGTCGCATCGTTGAGCGAGAAAAGAGCTCTGATTGAGCAGTTTGTATAATTATGAACCGGCCAAAAACGTGTTGGGCGCACAACGCTTTTCCATTGACACCGAATTTTATTTTTGTCCTGCGTAAACTGTTTACGCAGCACAAAAATGAAAAAATGGCTACGCTCTTTCACATGATACCAATGGTTTTTGCCTTTTTATAAAAGGTCCAGGAAATAATAAGATATGAGGTGTTCGTATAATTATGAACCAATTTTTATATCAAAATCGGCTTGGAGCGATGCATATCCTAAAACATTTATTTGCATTTTGTACAATTACAAGTAAGCGGGGCGTTGATCATGATTGATCCATGTAATATCAAAGTGAGTTAACATATGTGCTTGCGGATGGTTCTCATTCCAGTCGACCTTTGCAGATGGTGGTTGGCAATCTTGCTTTATGCGCAAGCATTCTGATTGGAGCATGTAGGATTTCTTGCATTTCGTTAGTTCGAAGATTACGCTGGCCATTTAGGGGCCGACACTGTTTGCTATGTCAGGCATCCTGTTGATCTGGCCAACAAAACGAACTGCGACGTTTTAAATCTGGACACATATAAGAACGACTCTTTACCAGTCGATCCAAGACTTTTTGATGTCAGTTCAGTTTACTCTCATGATGCATGATCATGATCATTGCGACTCCCTCGGAAAGCGTGCACAGTAAAACATACGGAAACGGCATTATGTCATCGATAAGTATTAGGCTGGAAACTGAGTTTTGCAACTACTTCCATAAATCAACTCCTTTCTATGACGCACTCAAACTTTGGCAATATGTAGAGCGTAATATGAACTAAAATTTCCCCAAAATTGTTTAAATATTAAAAACGATTTATAAAAATTCGGTTTTTTAAAAACTAGTATATTTTAAAAATTTTAGGGGTTTAGAGTCAAACTGAAGCTGTTGGCAGCTTATACCATGCCCAACAATCCGGAATCGTGTATGAATTGCTGCTAGAGGTTGTCTCGTTCGGCTCACCAAGAAAGAAATAAAATTTTGGGGCACGTCGAGATTTGGCGCCCTCACAAATTTGAACAAGTCGCTGTACGCAAGGCTGCTGGGGACAACTGTCAATGACTCAATGACTAACGAGTCAGGACCACAAGATTTCCCGTGCCTTTACATATTGAGGTTTTTTGATCTGCTAAACACGATCATCATTATACGTTGAATCAACGCCTCTTTCCTTGTTTAGGGTGAGACCCTATATTGTACACCTACAGTAATCTTACAAAAAGCCTTATCACGCAAATTCAATATCGTTTTTGTGATCAACATGTCGGACAATCACCATATGCCAAGTTTCAGCCAAATTTGTCGAAATTTACAATTTTTCCCTTTACACTCTACAGTGCGAACCTCGGCTGCGCGGAGGTTCGCATTGGCTCTGCTACCCGTACGCCGTTCTTGATAAACTTTGATGACTTCGAAACTCACCGCGTAATGCAACCTAACGAATGATCTGTATACAACTGTTCATTCTTGAAGCATCTATGACTTAATAATAACGGGCTAAGGGTTGTTTGCGTCTGTTTGTCTGTGTGTACGTCTGTCTGTCACGAAATTCGTAGAGCGAGTTCCAGCCAACCTTCTGAGCCCAAATTTTGCACAGCGGATGCTGTCAACATGAGAGTCCAATATACAATTGCACGAGCGGATCCCTTGAGTGGAGCCCTCAAAAAATGCGCATGAATCGGATCCACTTGGCTTTTGGCCAGTAAAATTGAGCCTGTAGCACAGCCTTTTGCAAAGCCACTAATTTGTTTGACAAGTTAATGTGCAAGCCATGGACTTGAGCCTAAATAAGTGAACTAAGTTTATTACTTTGCGAAAACTGCGTCAAAAAGAATTGATTACGTGAATGGTTGATTTGCTAAGATTTCACCCGATCGTTTGAGAGGATTTTTGCACAGCGTTGAAGCCCAGGGTGATTGTTGTATTTTATGGTAAACATCAAGTCATAAGAAGTCCAAAAACCAAGTCAAATTTTCATTTGTTCTTCTGGGAAAAGTTTTATCCACGCGAAATTATCGACCTCATATGGAAAAGCGTTTGAAATGAGTGATTGTTTACAAATCATTCGTGATAGCCTGCATAGCGCGGTGAGTTTCAATGTCATTATTGTGCGGGAATGAGTAAGGCGTACAGAAAGTAGGGCCAGTGCGGGCCTCTGCGAAGCAGAGGTGACGCACTGGTAACTTATAATAACGGGCTAAGGGTTGTTTACGTGTGTGTGTGTGTGTGTGTGTGTGTGTGTGTGTGTGTGTGTGTGTGTGTGTGTGTGTGTGTGTGTGTGTGTGTGTGTGTGTGTGTGTGTGTGTGTGTGTGTGTGTGTGTGTGTGTGTGTGTGTGTGTGTGTGTGTGTGTGTGTGTGTGTGTGTGTGTGTGTGTGTGTGTGTGTGTGTGTGTGTGTGTGTGTGTGTGTGTGTGTGTGTCACGAAATTCGTAGAGCGAGTTCCAGCCAACGTCCTGAGCTCAAATTTTGCACAGCGCATGCTACCAAATCTAGAGTACAGTATACAAAAGCACGAGCGGATCCTTTGTGTGGATCCCTCAAAAAATGCGCGTCAATCGGACCCACCTGACTTTTGGTCCCCAAAATTGGGTCCGTAATTCCACTTTTTGCAGACTCGTGGATGTTTATGGCAAGTAAATGTGCAAACCATGAACGTAGGCCTAAAAAAGTGATCAAAAGTCATTACTTTACAAAAACGGCGCCAAAAAGTATTGGCTGCGTAAATGGTCATTTTGCCAAGCTTTTACCAGAGAATTTGATGAGATTTTTGCACCTAAATGTAGTTTATGGTGACTACTGTTCTTATGGCGACTGTCAAGACTGTGAGAAAATCAAAAACGTACAAAATTTTGCTTTGTTCTCCTGCAAAAAAATCTCATTCACGCAAAATCACCGATTTCACATGAAAAAGCTTTCGGAATGAGTAGTTGTTCACGTTTTGTTCATGATAGTCGGCATTGCTCGGTGAGTTTCAATGCCATCATTATGCGAGAATGAGTAGGGCCTAGATAGTAGAACCAGTGCGAGCCTCTGCGAAGCAGAGGTGACGCACTGGTCTTTATATAAGGTCGGTAAATTTGAGAAAGGAGACTTTTTGCAAAGAAACGAATGTGAATTTGAATATATTACTAAGTTTATTCTGCCTTGGTAATCGTCGTAAGGATAACAGTCATTTTGGGCTACATTCCCGTGCGAAAATCTTTCAAAGTGAAGCCTTGCCAAATCGACAGTCTACGCGATCACCACTTTTTAGGGTTCTTTTCGTAGAAAAGCAAAATCTTTGAGCAGTTTTTGAGCTTGAATTCATGGGGCGCAGATTTACTTGTCAGGCAAACCCTGACTTTGCAAAAAGTCGAATTAGCGACCTAGTCTTCCGTGTCAAAAGCCGCGCGGACCCGTTTGACGCACAATCTTTATAGCATCAACGCATTGGATCTGCACGAAATTTTGCATGATGGGCCTAGATGCTGGCAAAGTGCTATGACCAAAATTCCTGCTCAAAACCTCAAAACATTTGCTGGAACTCGCTCCATGAATTTTGTGACACACACACACACACACACACACACACACACACACACACACACACACACACACACACACACACACACACACACACACACACACACACACACACACACACACACACACACACACACACACACACACACACACACACACACACACACACACACACACACACACACACACACACACACACACACACACACACACACACACACACACACACACACACACACGTAAACAACGCTTAGCCCGTTATTATAAGTCATGACACCTACCCTCATTGCGACGTCATAATTTGGTGTAATAGCAGCTGCGCTTGTAACTTATGTCATTGCAAAATTTGTGTGCGCCATGATGACTGAGAGGAAATTACTGAATGAGGTGCAAAACTTAGTGTCCAACCTGATATTTCTGGAGTGTAAGGCCTCGGACAGAGTTCAGTTTTGATCGTCACGACAATCCGACAAGCCGACTATAACAATATCATTACATGCCGATCTCCTTGCATTTCGGTTGTGATAACTTCCCAACACGACTAACCGTGACTAGCTATCACAACCGAAATACGAGAACATCGGCATGCAATGGACTTGAGAGATTGAATAGAGAGGATAGATAAAGATAAGGATCCTATTGCGTCTGTCTGTCTGTGTGTGTATGTCTGTCTGTCACGAAATTCACAGAGTGAGTTGCAACTAGCGTCTTGATCTAGAATTTTGGTCATAGCACCCAGTCAGCGTGTAGGTAAACTGTGCAAAACCACAAGCCAATCCAGTAAGTGGAACCATCGAAAACTGTGCGTCAAACGGATCCACGCGACTTTTGGCCAGCCAAAATGGGTCGGTAATTGGACTTTTTGCAAAGTCTTGGGTTTGTTTAGCAAGTGAATCCAAAAAACATTGACTTCTGCTCAAAAAGTAAGCAAAAAGTCTTTCTCTACACGAATTTGGCGCCAAAAAGACGTAGCTGAGCAAATTGTCGATTTGCCAAGTTTTTACTATAAAAATTGAGAAAATTTTTGAACAGATATGTAGCCCAGGGTGGTCTTTATCCTTATGGCGACTATAAAGCCAAAATAAATTCAGTAACCCATTCAAAATCGCATTTGTTTTTCTGCGAGAAAATTTTTTCTCCCAAAATTACCGATCTTACATGGAAAAGCTCTAAAAATAAATGGTTGTTTACACTTCATTCGTAATGTTCAGCATCGTGCGGTGAGTTTCAAAGTCATTATTATGCGATCACGAAGAAGGCATGGATAGTAGAGCCAGTCGAACCTCTGCGAATCAGAGGTGACGCACTGGTGTCAAATAAGCCCTGTCCGCCAAGTTTTAGCAAATTCTGAGGGTTCCTGGAGTGGTGTAATCTAGTCGAAGTCACGTTTAGAGTACATCAATTGCTGCTTGCCTAACTAAAAGGGAGTACATAATTCATTGCCTTGGAACGGTTCTAGTTTTACCGCAGCCATCTCCTTAAGGGCCTGATCTTGTATGTGTAACTTTTTATGGATCAAGTAACAAGATTTAAGCATCCATCTTTCAAATCTTTTCTAAAAAAACCAAAAAAGTTACGAATCTAAGAATGCTAGGAAAACAATCAGTACTTTTCCTGCATGACGTGCTTTGCGGACCAAAGCAAGATATTGGTGGACCACTACTTTTTGGAGACCTAATCTGACTACAATTGGTCACCATGTAAGATGGATCAGTTCTCTGGTCCGCGACAAAGTAGACCAAGCTGCAGCTATACAGCCTTTTTTTCGGTGAACAGGAATGTCTGCGTATAAAAGGATGTTGCAGCGGCAACATCCTGATAACTGATAGCTAAAGCTTTATTTACAAAGCGCGTCTTCTTAGCTACAGCATCTCAAGCTTGGAAAGCTCAAAGCTTGGTGTCAAAAGCTCAAGATCCCTAACTTAGGACGTTGACATTGAGTGCGAATCCTGCTCCTTTTCTAGAGATTTGCGCTCACTTTTCAAAGTGAAATCAATACATGGTCACCAGTGGCATGCAGAGGGGGGGGGGGAAGCCTCCCCCCTCCCACCCGGG